GCCGGGACGGCCAGCCCCGCCCACGGGCTGACCATCAACCAAGCCTCGCCCTAGACCAGGCAGTCGACCGCAAACACCGAGCCTACCCGGCCCGGAACTGCGGCAAGCCCGGCGCTGCCGCCTGGTCGTCTTCGGCGTTGAAGTTGGCGGGCGGGTCAGCCGCAGCACCCTGACATTCTTGCGACTGCTCGCGCGGGCGAGGGCTCGCCAGCGGGCGCCGTGGTGCGCCGCAGCCGCTCGACAAGCTCTCAACCAGCGCTGGAAAGCCCTGGCTTCCTTCGCCGCGCTCCGGGCACACGCCTGCTCGCTCCTTGAGCTGCCATCGCGGGGCCCAGTGACCCAACCGACGACCAAGAGGTGCCGTTGGGTGAGTTGCTGGCGGGCAGCCTGCGAACAGGCCCTAGCCGGCTGGCGTAGGAGCTAGACGCTTTTTAGGTCGTGTAGCCGCGAAGCGGACACTGGCGAGGAAAAAGGTGCGTGACAAAAAAAACACGAGGCATCCTGACTATCTGACTGACTGGTGCAACCACATGTATGACACCCCCGCTGCGGAGGTAGCAACCATGATGTTACAAACATGAACCACGCCAGTTTGCATCCAATTGCGGGACATATTTGGGGATGGACACGAGAAGTTTTTTTCAGACTTCCATTGCTGTCGGATGTTTAGGCTGGTGCGAAATGAAACGGACAACAAACAGGATGCGGTATTGCATCGTTTGATGGGATACCACGCCTCGTGGTTACGCAGCAGCTCGACCTTCCGCACTTCGTCCGGTTCTCCTGTTGATGTGCAGCAGCACGCTCTGAGACTACTCTTGCGTAGTCCTGCCGTCGGCTCTGATTTGAGCATTGGATGATCCAAGAACGAGGCGGTCAACCACGACTAACACATAAATTTCAGCTATCCTGTTGTTGCCGGCCCTGCAACCGGCTTCCCCGGCGCAGCTGCGCTGGCGAGGCGGTCCGCATGGTTGGGCTTGGCTGGAAGTGCCGAGCGAGCCAGCATTCACACAGGCCCCTCAGGCCATGCAGCTCCCACTACGACCGGGTGGACGCTTACGGCGACCATGCCGTGGCCTGCCCACGAACGGGTTGCTGGCACACCGCGCAGAAATCGTTGAGCGCGCATGGGTGCGTGTTGCCCGCGAAGCTGTAGGGCCCGAAAGGCAAGTCGTCCCTCAACAATGGCTGGCCACGATCGGAGCACCCTTTCTCGCGGGTTAGGTCGTGCCAAGTCACTAGTGCCGGCTCTACACGATGAGGTTGTGCATGCATGCGTGTAGATCATGCCCCCTCGCCTGAACGGGGTGTGCGCGGGGCCGACGGCTCGACCTCGTCGTGTACGGAGCAGCGTCGCGAGGGGGCACGATGCCATTACGCGTGCAAGGCCACCACAGACGGGCGCCGCCGACAATGACGGCTCAGTGTCGCAGAGCGTCGCAAGAAGTCAGCCTACCCAGAATTCAGCCACGGCGGGCCACAACAGTTTGTGCTAGGCTCGGAGGTTGGCGGCCGTTGGAGTGCCGAGGCCCAGTGCTTCTTGCGCGACCTGCTCCGGGTTCGGTGCAGGCCCTGCCGTGAAACGGCCAGCCTACGATTCCGGCAAGGTTAGGTGCAGGAGGCTCAAACCTTCGCAGCCCGGGATACTGGAGGCCGCGAAGGAGAAACATTCCCAATGGCGACGTGCTGCGACGTCCCTTTTCATGTTGCCACGACTGTGCCACGATCGCTGTCGCTGACGCGCACACGCGAGCAGCGTCGCCAGACGCGAGCAGCGTCGCCAGAGCAGCTGCGACCGGGGCCTTGGCGACTGTGCGCCCGTGGTTGTGAGCTGCAGGGTGGACCGCAGAATCAGAGCTTCGTCGCCCAATGAGTGGGGCTGCGAGCTCACGCTCCTGCTGTCCGGCGAAGTTCTGCCGCGCAAAAATGCTGACACAGCATCCTTGGTGCGCTCCGCGGAACATAATGCGTCGCCGGAGAGTGTCCAGCTCCCAGCTCGCAGAAAATTCAGCATTGCACAAGTATGTGTCATTCGCGCCGTCGTAGATTTTGTGTGGCTCGCATGGTTGGGCATTGCCTTGTGCATACTTTGCTTGATTTTCTGCAGGCTCTACGTGTTGATTCCATTGTTTCTCCATCCTCGGTGGATGGGATCATAGGACCGTGTGAGTTTTGTGGTTACGGATTCTGTACACAGTCGTTTCACGTCGCCACGATACTGTACTCGGAATAGGGGTGGTCTGGGGACAGTGTTGTCAGACATGCTCCTTGTTTTCCAGACGAGGCAGCAAAAGCGCGCCGCGCGGCGACCGCGATGAGCGTCGACCAGCACGCTGCAGGCAGTGATGGCAGCCTGGGAACGGCAGCGGCTCGGTGCCGCGCCAAAAGCACAGCGGTAGGCCGTTGGCAACGACCCTGATGCGCCGTGAATCAGTGACTGGCACATTGAGGTTCATATCGGCTAACCGGACGTTACGGGCGACCCGCGCGCCGGCTTCCCGGCAGACGCGCGCGGCAGCATGCGTGAGAGGCACGGCCCACGGCGACAGTACCCCGGAGGCGGTGCAAGCGGCACGATGATCGACCAGGGAATCGAACTGATCTCTGCGTGGCGCATCTCTGCGTGGCGCGAGCGGCAGGGGCATGCGCAAGCGCCACAGCAGAGGCACACGGAACTGGGCGCTGGGGATCGTCACGTCCGGGTGGATGGGTGGGACATGGATGGCTCGCGGGTGGCGAAGGGTCCTGCTTGCGAGAGCAGCAACGCGCGGGACACAAGGGAGAGTTCAAAAAGGTGGCGCGCTCATCACAGGCTCGTGCTGCGCGAACCTGCCAGCGCGAGCCTGCCAGCCTCTGCTACTTTAGGATTCGCTTGCAAATGCCTTAGCTCAAATAGTGATCTGTCAAAACCGGTGCGTGCTTGCGAACATCGTGGTGGCTTTGCATTGCTCTGCTGGCTCATGCTGGTGCTGGCCCGCGTGCTCTGTTGGGCTTTGTTTTTACAGCCACATCCGAGAATGACGCAGCTTTGATTTGCCCCCTAGCTACTTGCGGATGCTGCGCTGCTGCCGGAGGTTTTTGCTTCAATGTCAGATGTCTCGAGTCTCAGCCGTTGATGGCTTGCTGGCGTTTTTCCGGGCCCCCGTAGCTGTGTGTGGCCGCCTGCCCAGGCACCAGCATAAAAGCTTTGCGAAAGCGGGTGTATACCAACGGGCTCCTGTCGCGATGAGCTGGCCGATTCCGGAGGCGGGTGGCAACGCACCTTTGCGTAGGCGGATGTCACCAGCCCCTCGTCTCAGAAGCTATAGGACTTGCCTCATTCGTTTTCTTGTTCCGTTTCTGTTGGCTCCAACGACGGCGTATCTCCGAACCAAACTTGCTCACTCTGCGGGCATGTCACTCCTGCGGATGTGGACCATCTGTTCCGTGATTGTGATGCTTGCCGACAAATTCTTCCGCAAGCAGTCCTTATGGCCTCCCTTCGGACGAGACGGACGGTGGGTAGCCTTCTGACACATGTATCAAGAGCACTGGAATGGGTTGCAGCAGCTGGTCGACTTCGTCAAGCACGGAGATTACGAAAACACAACCGATCCTGAAAGTTGCCCTGGAATGAGAAAGAAAAATAAGCGCAGTCATGGACCACCATCCTGCTTACGAGGTTGTGCGTGTCCACGTCCACGTTCTGTATCTGGCCCTGCTTTGCTGGACCTTCTGTCCAGCACTGCGCAGCATCATCTTGGATTCTTTGGTGGTCCGAAAACCAGCCCTTGCAGTCCGGCTGCCGGAGAACATAAGGGAAGAGATTGAGATATGCAGCGCGCAGGGAATTTCTTTCATTGCTCACTGCCTTGTCTGCCGAAATACATTGACTGCTTCTCCCAATTTTGATGCCTGCTGAGTCTGGCAGCGGTAGGCTAGGTCAGTGGCTAGCTAGGTCCGACGTTTCTTGACTTCGACTGATTGCATGCAAGAAAAAAATGGCTGGGCTTCCTTTGCTCGGCCCGCGCACCCATTCCTGTCGCGGAACGCGGAATGTGCTCGCCTCCTGTGCACGTCCCTTTGAGCGCGCCATAGCAGCTGGAGAGGTCGTTTGGCCTGCATCCATCGGAGTCGAGTGGCTTCATCACGGCAGCTCCGCAACGAGCGCTTGCAGCAACATTCCTTGCAGATGCTCACTGGCCATACGGGCCTTGTCCCGACGGTTGACGCGCTGGAAGTGAGCAATAGTGGCAGTGTAAGTGGTGACGGCGTCTTGCGGTTGCGAATAAGAAGATTTTAACAACGGATTTCAGACGTCAGATAATCGCTATGTGGACAAACTCCCATGTGTAAGAATTTCGTTGGGCCCACCGGAGTGTGATAATTTTTCATTTGTTTGCGTTGTCCGTTGGTCGGATGGAAGTATTATTCGACGTTGTGGTGGGTCATAGTCATTGCTGTCCAACATAGGCAAAAGGGAGGGAGTTGGGGGATAATTCTGTCACAGGACAAGGGTTGCACTGGCGCGTTGGGGTTTTTGTTCCTTTGTCATTATGCGGCTACGGCTAATTGTTTGAGAGGCGTGCAAAAGCTGGCCGATCTCTCATGCAAATTGTTTGCGTTCCCGCTAGCAGAAAGCATCCGAAGCGTGCAGTCATCATCATGTGGTGTCAAGCAGCACAATCTTGTACCGGCAGCTTACGTCTGTGTACAGATCCCGCAGTGACTTTCAGCTTCGCTGACGCTGGAATTTCCGTTGCTGCCATGTTTATTGCTTGATGGCACCATGAAGCTTTCAGGACCGCCCTGGAATGTGCTTGTGATCATGTTGGTGGACCACCAGGTGCCCACTTGTGGCTGAGATTGCAGTTGCCGCATGCAAGATTTTGTTGTGGACGGGATTGCTAGCTTCGTTGTCGTCATGGTCACACAAGATGCACGGGTTGACCAAAAAGGCCCAAAATGATGCCAGGCTCGCTGACAACTGTGCGGCACGGACACACCATGTTTCTGGCATGGACGGCAGCAGCGATGCTCACAGGCCAGGGTTTGCAAACATAAAGTGTCATGAGTCATGCGTAAAGTAAGTCTGCACAACACGACTTTGCAGCGTGTGGCAGGCTGTGGTGCCAGGAGGCAAGCGTTTTCTGCGAGACGTTGAGAGAGCTGCGCTTTAGTCTCGCGGGCGGCAGGCTGTACGCGAGGCTTGAAACCCTCTTGAACCAGGTGCCTTCTGGGCCTGCCTTTCACAACATGGACAAGTACAACTTCACGAAACTACTCTTGGAAATGTCCGCGGATATGGTCAAGACACGCTGCGACAAAACGTCTTGGGGCATAGCAGCTGCGGAACTTTTTGAGGATGTCGAAAAAACCTTATGCGAAAGGTGTGTGGGTTTGTCGCAGGCTGTCAAGTCTGCACCCATGTGGTTTTGGAATGCCCGATCTGTGTGCCAGGATGACAGTGATGAAGCATATACAGACCAAGCAGAGCAAATCATGCAACACCCGCCGCAGCACATGGTTTTTGTCAATGTGCCCTTGGGGGTATACGTTCGCAACTCCCCGCACTTGTATGAGATGCTTTCCAGGATGAGATGTTTGCAAAAGGACAGTGCAGTGGGGTCTGTGAAGCAAATGCTCGCCATCTTGGACGCAGATGGCCATTCCTATTCCGTTTTAGTGTATGCAGTCATCGCTGCGATGCAAGTTCTTTTTCAGGTTGCTCGCGCACGCACCCCTGCAGTCTGGAAGCTGCAAGAACTTTGGCCGCTGAACGGATCTACCCTGGACTCGTGGTCTTGTTTGTCCTGCGAGAAGTTGATGTTCCGCGGCATCTGGGTCCCTCAAGAAGTCGATGAAGCTGCTGCAACGTGGCAGAGATCGTTCAATTCATTCTCCCGAGAGGTAGACGGGGTGCGGAAGGTGTTGAGGTTTTATGCCAAATCGAGGGGGACCAGCATCGCTACACTAGCGCAGAAAGACCAGCATATTCTATTGTTCGTTGCTCGCCGCATCCGGCAGGAAGATTGGGCATTTCCAATGCAGTTCTTTAGTTGGCATGAGAGCAGAGAAGGAAGTTTGGAGCGTGAACTGGTGTTGCCTCCTTTCGCAGCATACGACTTTGAGTCTGATCTGGAAGTCTCCAGCCGAATGCCTGGCATCATTCGTGCGGAGAAGATGTCGATTCTGCAACAAAGATGGGGCTTGCCTGCTAAGTTCTTCGACACAGAAGTCCCGAAGCTTATGCGATGGCTAGGAGATCCGAAGTCAATGCTTCTACATGACTTACTGGGTTCGCCACCCCAGATCACCGTGCGGTTCGTCCGGAAAGTCACCTTGGCCGACCCGGTCCGCTGTCTTCTCGAAGCAGATGTACCTTCGCTGCTGCAGTTTCCGCAGTGTTGGCGTGTGGTCGGAGGCGAGCAGATGGGAGGATTGCTGGTGCGACAGGGTCCGGCTTTAGACAGTCCCATAGCCCCACAGCGCTTACAGTTTGGTGCAACGGTCGCTGAAATTGAAACTCAGGGCGTCCGAATGCACTATCGCATGGTGCTGGGAGACGGACCACCGCAGGGCTGGATCACTACTTTCGTGCAGCAAAGCAACAAACGACTGGTGGTTCCTGAGTAGAGCGTTTCCTGGAAGCCTTGATGTGGGTAGTTCTCTAAATTACGGTCCCCTTTTTAGGTCTCCAAAATAGTACGGCACCCTTACAAAACGGATTTTAAACGGACACTAATAATTTGGACAACTACCCATGTGATGTTGAGTCTTCAACCAGACTGTAGCGGTAGATTGCAGCGAGGGCATTATCATAAATATATATATATATATATATACATATACAAATACAACAAATGAATAAATAAATAAATAAATAAATATATATATATATATATATGTATGTATGTATGTATGTATGTATGTACGTACGTACGTACGTACGTAGGCAGGCAGGTAGGTAGGTAGGTAGGTAGGTAGGTAGGTATGTATGTATATAGCACTACCACATCGCTATATAGAACGTTGTAGTGCTATGCAATCCCAACTGATATTACATAGCACGATATAGTATTTTCCAATACTGTACAATATAGTAAGATGTAATCTTTAAACATGTAGTACGATTTGGAATAACATAGTGTAACAGAGTATACTATGTCACGTAGTATGTTGTAGTAGAAGCACGTAACATTAGCATCGTATAAATCTAGCACAGTGTAATAAAGTAAAACATAGAATATTTTTTTACATAGTACAGTATAGTATAGCAAGTCATACCATATTATACTATATCATACCACAGTATACCGTAGTATAACATAGCACAACGTAGCAAAACATAGCATAACATAGCATAACAGCATAACAGAGCATAACACAGAATGTCATAGCATCGTGTAGTATGACATAGTATAACTTAGCACAACATAGCATATCATCGTGTAGCATGGTGCAGCATAATATCGTGTAACAGGTTTCGTTCAAGATCGTATTAAAAAACTAGAACAATGTAGACTATTTCAGTATAACTTTTCGTACAGGAATAGGGTGGAACATGATAGACTAGAGGACGGGAGATAATCTAGCATGATCTGATATGATCTAACATAATGCCGTGTACCATATTATCACACAATCAAAGGTATTTAAGTGCGGACCTGCGAAGGCCTGCCGCTGGTGCCGAAGCTTGATGTCCTACTGCAGCCTCATGCTTTAGGAATAGGAATAGGGCTTTGGATTATACTATAGTAAAGGAGAACCATATAAGGAACCTGCCATTGGCCACCATCTACAGTGCTCTCAAAATCGAATTGGGCCGCTGACATTAGGCATGGTGTGCGTTGACGATCCGCTGCAACAGAAAAGTTCGGAGTCGCGGTCGGGGATGCATCATAAACCTGGGGTGGAGGATTTCGGGGTGTCGGGCTTGTCCTGGTTTTTTTCGCGCATGCACGAGCTACAGCACCACATGATGCGGTAATAAATATCAGTCATAGTCTCACTTGATTTTAACGGTCGGTCGGCGATTGGAGGATACTCACCGGATGCAAAGGTACCGCGAGACTCCATGAGCAAGATTGGTGTTGGTGGTGGTACTGCTTCTGTTTCGGATACTGCTTGCTGGCTGGCTGCAGGCTGTGGTGGTGATGCCGGGTCTTGCAACCTAGACAGCCTCAAACGCCGACGCTCTGCCTCTCCGAAACGATAGAAACTTGAACCTTAAACCCCAACAGCCCTAAACCCGGAAACTCGAGCCCACACCATCCTACACTTTTGCGGTTGGTGCCTGAAGTCCACCACCGAAATCGTGGGATGGTCTTCTCTGGCTCGCCGGCATTGCAACATCACATGCGACATGCGACCGCTGAGAGAACATTCGATGTACATGAACAATCTTGACCCTGAGCCCTAAACTCCACACCCTAAGCTTTCAGGACCTTGAAGTTGAGGAGGGTGGGCTCGTCGGTAGATGGGCTGATCCTCAGGGTTTTGAGGTGTCGAGGGGGAAGTTTCAATTTCAGGGCCAAGTCTGTCAGCGCAAAACTCTGAGACTTAAAAGTCGCCGCCTCTGGCAGATGCTTCTGCCAGCAGCTCGCAGGCAGTTAAGGATCCAGCAAGGAGGGGTGGAGCCCCCGGTTTCAATATTATAGCTATTTCGGGTAGGAGAATTAGATTCTCGGCGAAGTTATTGGAAAGAGGGCGAGCGGTGACCCTGAACCCTCCACACACTCCCTTCAGCGAATTTTGGGCACCTTCTATCGGGACGCTGTGCTGGGATTGAAAGACTACCTATCTATCTATCTATCTATCTGTCTGCCTATCTATCTGTCTGTCTATCTATCTATCTATCTATCTATCTATCTACTTATCTACTTATCTATCTATCTAGCTATCTATCTATCTATCTATCTATCTATCTTATCTGTCTATCTATCCATCCATCTGTGTATCTATCTTTCTGTCTATCTTTCTGTCTATCTATCTGTCTATCTATCTATCTGTCTATCTGTCTGTCTATCTATCCATCCATCCATCTATCGCGTAACTAGAGCAAACCTGGTGGGTTGCTGGTATAGGATATATGATATATGATGCATTTCAATTTTCATATGACATATTTTGTGAATCGTTTTCATGACATACTGTATAGTTTTCGAAGCATACGTACGTAACATAATAAAATACCATATACTGCAACATATATTATTACAGTAACATGTTGTATACAATGGATTCATCTTTCAGATAATGATATAGGGTATAACAATATAACAGTACATCGTACTCGTGAAGTAGTAACCAAATATGTACTTGTATAGTACATATGTAGGTTATATACAGCGCACAATATCGTCTACCTCATGGTTTAATATACTGCAACAACTTCTCATACAAAATATGACGTATTGCACTAGAAGTTTTCAACATAACGCAAGATAACTCAGCATAGTATACAACGTTTTATGTAAATACAAGAACTTCATTATGACAAAGCCAGTTGCAAATTCTGAGATAAGAGTAGTATACTACACTTAACGTGTTCTCTTCTGTTCTATAGTGCTACAATTTAGTGTAGTGTTTTGCATGGTGCTATATGTTATTGTGCTTCGCTTCTGTAAATGCATATATCATGTCACATTATACTGTACTGGGTTGTGTTGTATCGTATTGCATTGCATTACACGGTGTTGTTCTGTTGTATTGCACTGCGTTTTCTTGCAGAATTGTATCTGATATTATCCTACCTTTGTTCATTGTCTTGCCTTATACCAGCACATCACACCATTTTTGGAACAATAACACAAGTCGTCATACAATTTCCTATTTAGGTATATAAAGTATAACCAAGTGATATGTTACTATGATTCTACAGTATGCTATGTTACACTGAGCGGCTTTACATGATATCCTGCAATGCCCTACATATTGCATTGTACTCCATTGTATTGCAGGGTATTGTATTGTATTGTATTGTGTTGTATTCTAGTGTACAATGTAATGTAGTGTCATGTAACGCATTGCTTGTATCGGAGTATGTGCTCTATCAGTATCATTATGTGGTATTGTAGTATGGTCGTATGGATTATGATGCGGTATTTTCTATATTTTAGCCCATTATACTATATTCTAACCCATTATACTATATTTTAGCCCATTGTACTTTATTCCGTTATATCAAGTCGTGCTGTACACCTCCCCACACCAGGCATGGAGGCGGAGCAGACCCCGGGTGTGCGGCAGAGGCTGCAGCGTTTCGTCAAGCGCCTCGGGCTGCACTTCAGCTGCGAGAGCTGATGTGTTGCCTTTTTCAGGGGGGGTGGAGTCCTTAAGCAAGGCAAAACCTAAACCCTCATTCATGCGAGAGGGAAAAAACCCTAAACCCTGATGTGTTGTCTTTGGGTTTCAGGGTTGAGTTCGTTGTGTACCTTCTTTGCTAGATTTTTTCAGGTGGGGTTTAAGCCTCAGGGTTGAGGTCTAGGCAAAAGGGTGTGGGGGATTTGGGGTTTGGATGTCAGGGTTTTGAGGAGAAGGCGAGAAGGCTGGAGGGTGCATATGGCTTGGGTGGCTGTTCCTGGAGGCCCCAGTGCTCGAGTCCTTAAGCAAGGGCCCAAGAAACAAGATCCCTAAACCCTAAACCCTAAACCCTCAACCCTCAACCCTCAACCCCAAACCCTAAACCCTAAACCCTCAACCCTAAACCCTAAACCCGAATAGAATCGGCCAACTGAGTAGGGATGTGGAGGTGCACAGGCTTCGAGCTCAGAGTGATTGTGCTGCCGGAAGCCCAAATAGAAGCTTGACTAAGCAGCATGGGGGCTGGGTTCCGGGGTTTTGCACAGGTTACTACAAGGCTTTAGTATGGGGTTTGAATAGTTACCAATACACCCATGAGGGTTCCGCGCATATTTTTCTATACTGTAACACTAAATTCCCAACAAACCCCGAAGGGTGTCGCGGGTCTACTCGGAGGTGTGCACTACTTTTGCACTGTCTGAGCCGAGGGTTGCCCTGAATACCCTTGAAGCCCCAAACCCTCAACGCTGGTTTGCCAAAACCCTAAAGCCTCAACCCCAAGACACCAAAATCCTAAACCCTAAACCCCAAAACGCCAAAATCCAAAAACCCTACACCCTAACAAAACAGCAAAATCCAAAAACCCTAAGCCCTAAAGCCTCAACCCCGAAACCCCCAATATCCAAAAACCCTAAACCCTGAACCCTCACCCCAAAACCCCCAAATCCAAAAACCCTAAAGCCCTAAAGCCTCAACCCCGAAACCCCAAAATCCAAAAACCCTAAACCCTAAAGCCTCAACCCCGAAACCCCAAAACCCAAAAGCTCTTAAACCCGAAAGCCTCAACCCCAAAACCCCCAAATCCTAAAACCCTACACCCTAAACCCTCAACCCCAGAACCCCAAAATCCAGAAACTCTAAAACCCTAAAGCCTCAACCCCGAAACCCCAACATCCAAAAACCCTAAACCCGAAAGCCTCAACCCCAAAACCCCAAATCATAACACCCTGAAGCCCGTGGCAGGCTCGCGAGGTCGGATTGTGGTCGAGACTCGACTGCGGCCCTCACTAGGGCCTTTTGCGTCCGCCCGGGTGTATTTCGAGTAGTGGGTTTTCCCGAAAGCATCGCGAAGGGTTCTTCCGTGCGGAGCCCCGCAGAGAAAATACATAGAGAATACATGGGGTCAAGTACACTTGACTTTACGAACACTTGACTTTATGACATTTGACTTTACCACTTTACC